TCGTAGAGGGGTCTAAATACAGCACAAACAACATTTTCCAAAAGACCAAAAAAGTGAAAAAATATATTTTAACAAAACGCATTTGACTAGCAGGTCGAACAACAGATGTTCTTAAACCCTGCCGACTGCTATTGGCGATTGCCGAAAAAACGGATCACCAGATGTAACAAAATGGATCTTAACTATTAATTTAATACCAAACAGAAAACAATAAACTTGCGGAAAGGATGGTATACCGCAAACAAATGTGCAAAAATTAGTACACCATATCCGGATTTCAACAATTAATGTCTCTTCAGTGATGTTACGAATCGAAACGGAATTTGGAAGGCCATATAATTTACCTCAATTTTAGGATATACTGTTGAATTTTGAAGAGTCGATATAGGATCAACGGATCATATTAACCCGAAGGCAAATATATACTATACAAGCCCAAACGAAAAACTATAAACAAGTCTAAATTGAAAACAACGTTCAAACCAATGATCACGTTGGATGAAAAGCGCAATTTTTATACGTGTGCATGCAAAACAAATTTCTTTGTAGAGGGGTCTAAATACAGCACAAACAACATTTTCCAAAAGACCAAAAAAGAGAAAAAGTATATTTTAACAAAACGCATTTGACTAGCAGGTCGAACAACAGATGTTCTTAAACCCTGCTGACTGCCATTGGCGATTGCCAAATAAACGGATCACCAGATGTAACAAAATGGATCCTAACTATTAATTTAATACCAAACAGAAAACAATGAACTTGCGGAAAAGATGGTATACCGCAAACAAATGTGCCAAAAATTAGTACACCATATCCGGATTTCGACAATTAATGTCTCTTCAGTGATGTTAGGAATCGAAACGGAATTTGGAAGGCCATATATATAATTTACCTCAATTTTAGGATAGACTGTTGAATTTCGCATTGATACTATGAAAAGTATAATATGACGTTAAGTAGAAGTAAAACTATCTACTACTAGTACAAATTAAATTTATTGTAAACTAGAGTTTTAAAGTTGAATCGCAGTGTAGCTGGCATTATTAACTATTTTCTTCCAAGGAGGTTTATTTCATTTTTCCTTTGAAAAGTTGTATCTGATTTACTTTTTGTCATTTTCATACCAAAGGTCCATAGTTTACTTCGCTGATAAAACTGACCATGTAAAAGCATATGTTTAAAATAAGGTTATAGCAGAAAACTACTCCAATGGGATTGTCTAAATGAAAAGATGAAAAAAGAAGATGTGGGAATAATACAATGAGACAGACAGCAATATAACAACAAATGTAACCAAAAGACATCAAGAGGGCAACAAAGAGTCGTCAACAGAAAAGTGTCAAGTTCTAAATTGTCTTGAGTCTACAAAAGTTGTGGATTAATTTAACGAAAACCAAAAAATCAAAGGTCTGTCACTATTACCTTAGGCAATTTACCAAATAACGATAAACCTTATGATATGTCAAACCACAACTACTGACAAAGTTCCTGACTTGGGACAGGCAATTTAAAATGTGGCTGGGTTAAACTTCATTCCCCTTTTTAATCTCAATCCGTAGAGTAAGAAAAAGCATAAATTAACGTACTATAAAAATCAATACAGAACAGAAGTAGTATTCAACTCTACTGTAACGATATAACAGTTAACAAAACCACCAAAAGAGTAAATTATACCATATCAAAGAATGTTCCAATTACTCGAAGCTAGCTAGCTGTATAAAGCCAGCCCCAAGTACTTAACCCCTTGATATGACTCATATTAAGAAACTCGGTACAGGCATTTTGACAGACAATAGACGGTTAAACCTGGTTTAAAGGGGAGTTTGGATTTACCCAACCAAGAAAACAAGATGAGAAGGGTCTCAGTGGCCAAGTGGTCGTAGAAGTGTATCGATCACTAGCCAACGCTAAAACTTCGATTTCGAGTTCCGCACGTGGCAGGTGCGTTCGACTCCAATCTTAATTGACTAGGAATGTCAGTTTTCCTACCGAAGATCAGTGGTTCTCTCCAGGCACTCCGGCTTCCTCCACCAATAAAAAACTGACCGCCAACAGTACTGAAAGTGGTGTTAAACACCTGTTTTCTTGGAATTTTTTTTGTTATCAACCGACCCTCATTGTCATTTTTTAAGCAGGTAAAGATATGAAGCACAATTTACTGTATCTGCGTTATCTTTCTTAAGGATGTACACCTCTGAGGAGCCAAACATTTCTAGAATTTAACATTTTTTCTTAACCTGATTTTTGGGTTTATATGACTGTAAAAAAATAATTGGTGAAGAAAAAATCATAACGTGGTGCACTTCTTATTTTGCTACGGCCCTTTGAAAGTACCCAATTTTGATGATTTTCCCATTTTTCATCAATTTTTACCTTTTTTTGGGCAATTATCGTGAAAAAAATCACAGTTCCACAATACTTTCAATAAAGTTGAAGTGGACCAATCTGAATAAATTTAACTTAAAAAAATATAGGTAGGTGTTAATATAAGAAAGTTTTATCATATTTCGACGCTTTTTTGTGTCAAATTAACATGCTGTCAATTTTGTAAATTTGTGATTTTTCTCTTTTTTAAGAACAAAATGCATATTATTTCAACTTCTTTGTTATAAATGATTGAAAAAATACATATCTAAGAAATTTGAAAAGAAAAAAGTGATATGGGATGTACATGTTTCTGGTAAAATCATTTCTTGTACCCCTCACCCATTTTCTCAAAATTTTGGCTAAAAAGACTGACTTGATTGGTAATAAAATTTGAAAAATTGATTACCCAAAAACTACTCATTGTAAATACGCAATTTTGTCACAGAGTTAAGTTTGATTATAACATTTTTTAAATTCATTGATATTTTCCACTTGTATCACATGTTTTGGGAATAATTCTAGAACGAGATTTCAACGAGACTGTAACGTCAGAAGAATACATCCTTAAGCAATATACTTTGAACCGCCGTGGTTAAGTTTCCATGACTTAATGATATAGCATTGTGTTACATGTACCAGTAAATATACAGAAATGACCAATTCAGTAATATTTAATGTCAGCTTCCTTTTTGGTTTTAGCATCTCTACTATAAAGATTTAACAGCCATTCAAACTTGTTAGCATCGAGCATAACCAAAGAGATAGTAATTGTCGAAATCATGACGCAACAGGTGCTGTCAAGTGCTTTTAATGCTATGTTAGACGATATGAACCTCTCAGATAAGACAAGCATTACCGTCGACTCATTGCAAAACTTAGCAAAGATTTCAGATTTATAATTTAATACAACAAATGTTGTTTCAAAGGAAAACATCTACTCGAAAGGATAATAAACCAGAGATCATACATTTACGTAGAAATGATTTAATAAACGGCAACATGTTTGTCAAAATATTGATTAAATCATATGGACTTGTCTTTTTACAGACACATAAGCTGTTGTTTGAAAAAAAACTCTTCATAATATGGATACTTTAAACCGATAAATAATAAAAAATTTTCTCAGTCAATAGTTACCAGTTAAGCACAGATTTTTTTTCGTAAACTTGATAAATTTTGCTACAAGAAACTGCAAGCAATTATGAGGATAATGCAACTAGTCTAATAAACTGCTTCGCTGAGCGCAGCTGGATACACCCGCAGAGGTCCAACCCCGAACAGTTGGGGCAAAAATGGACACAATATTCAAGCTTGATACAGGTCTGAATTTGGATTGTAATTAAATATTTGACATATTATAGGTTTCTGAATAAATGTAGTCAAAGAACTTGAAATTGGTTATATGAATTGAATTTATATTCAATTAAAGATTTATTGCTGTTGTGCAATACACTGTGCTGTTGCGCAATACTTAGTAAATCTGTTGTCAGACTATAAACAAATAAAGTTCAATTTCTTCTCAATGTCATAATTGAAATTTATGAAAATCAATAGGGAGATTACATCAATAGCTATAAATAATTCACCAAAGTTTCATGCGAACTGCTTAAAGCATTTTTGAGTTATTGTCCAAAAACTGGAAATTCCCCACTTTTTTTAATGAATAAAACCCCGTAACTCAGAAATGTAAAATCTAAAATTTATAAAATTCTAAAGGGAACTTACATCAACAGATATAAGCAATTCACCAAAGTTTCATGAGAACTGCTGAAAGCATTTTTTAGTTATTGTCAGAAAACTGGAAAATCCCCCTTTTTAATGAATAAAACCATGTAACTCATAAACGTAAAATCTAAAATTTATAAAAATCGAAAGGGAGCTCATGTCAATATATATAAACAATTCACCAAAATTTCTTGCAAGTTGGTGAAAGCATTCTTGAGATATTGTCGGAAAACTGGAAAATCCACCTTTTTTAATGAATAAAAACCCAAAACTCAGAAACGGCAAATCTGAAATTTATAAAAAACGAAAGGAAGCTCACGTCAATGGATATAAACAATTCAGCAAAGTTTCCTGCATATTATTTAAAGCGTTTTTGAGTTAATGTCCGACATGTTGACGACGGACGGATGGACGGACGGACGGACAACGGTATACCATAATACGTCCCGTAAACGGGCGTATAAAAAAGCGAACATTGAGTTGCATTATTCTCTTGCCTCGGTTTTGCATACGAATGTGAAATCCGACGTTCATATTGATCATCGTCACCACATTCTACTTATCTTATTGTCAGACCTTTGCAACGTTGCCTTGTACAATATTTTAAAGAATTAAATTTTGCTTTGACGTCTTTTTGATAGGAGTAACACATACAAATAAACTCATCACACAAAGTGATTCATGATGTGTTTCTAGTTATTTTAGAAAAATACACCTTAGATATATATAAAAATAAATAGATGTGGTATAATTGCCAATGAGACAACTATCCACCAGTTGAAATGAAATGAAGTGAAGAGAAAACTAACTGCCCAATTTATAATTAAACAATTTACAAACAATTGATATGACAGACACGATCCAACGATAAATACATGACCAGTCTGAATTTAAAACAAAAGACTTACTTCTTATATGAGGAGGAATATGATCATCTGGAAGCTTTTCCTCAATGTCTAAAAGATGTTGTTGAACACATTCCACATTGGCTTCAAGACTGTCAACTCTTTTGATAACAACATTCACAGCTCTTCGACAAATACCTACTTCCCCTTGAACTTCTGTCATGTACTCTCTTATGAATTTATTATATTCGTTTTGTTGATGTTTATCAAATGTTCTTTGCAAAAGACTTTTCACCTCCTTGGTTAGGTTTCTACAGCTTAATCTGATGATGGCCTGCAAAGACATTTTGTTGTCAGTTAGATATTTATAATATAATATGAAATGTAATGAGTTGATAAATTGAAACACTGCATTATATAAATGATTTAACTTTCACATTAAATCCTTTGGATAAATCTGAACGATGTATTTGCATATTAAAATTGGCTTTGAACTAGCTTTAAATTACTGAAAGTACTCTTTAATCAGTAGCTTCTGCTTTATTTTCATGTGCTTAATGTCAATTTGATGAGACAAGCCTTTTCAAACTGATTTTTATAGTGTGATCTTGTGATGTGCCTTTTCACCACTGTCTGAGGTTAGGGGAAGTGTTGAGCACTCACACACATGTTTAACCGGGTGTACATTGTATGTGCCCGTCTGAAGTTATGAGCCTGTATTTCAGTGATTGTTGTTAGTTGCTGTCTGTCATATTTGTTGTTTTTTTTTATTATTTTTTTCACATTATACAAGCCGTTGTTTTTCTCGATTGAATTGTTTCACATTTTGTTGTGCCGAATCCCTTTATATAGATATAAGAAGATATGGTATGAGTGCCAATGAGACAACTCTCCATCCAAGTCAAAATTTATAAAAGTAAACCATTATAGGTCAAAGTACGGTAGCTTGCTATAAGGCATGGTTTTTTCCATTGTTGAAGGCAGTATGGTTACTTATAGTTGCTTTCATCCACGTCATTTGGTCTCTCTAGTATAGTTAATTCATTATCAATCAAATCACATCTCATATCTTTATATTAGTGTTTATGTTATTACCTTACTAAGTTGGAAATGTTTTTACGGCATGGCTAATGAAAGAACTAGCCACCAAACTCAATAAAACTAGTAAAAATACCTGTTCTCGATTACGTATCACTTCAGTTTGACATGGGAAATACTATACAGAAATGTATGACGATACAGACGATCTTTCGTTCCCTATTGTTTTTTTTTTTCTTTTTTTTGGACATTGATGTTACATTGGCCTCTTCTTACGGTGCGGATATTGGATAAGTATTTAGTTATGCTCGTTTATGTAGTGACATGTTAGATTTCAATTTATGTAATCTACTAGTATGTATAACTGGTAAATTTTTAAGTCAGAAGTTTCGTTACTACACATTACTTTAAACTTTAACTAAACCTTTCATAGATACAAAGATTTGTTATGGAAGTTTGGCTATACCAGAAGAAACATTATTTCAAACGAAATAGCACACCTATGTTTACAGTAATGTTTTCTTTCAGAGTCAGTAAATTTAGATACGACCCATGTAAACGCATTGATCCTTTTTTGTCATATAGCTCTTGAACTTTTTTAGTTCTTATACATTATTTGCTTTTAAAATATTCGGGTTGGAGTTTTCCTGATGAAGGTAAACCCAGAAAAGCTCTTCGGACGTACCAGTTATTTATTTGGTGAAGTATGGCAGGCGGGTAGTCGGCTGCCAACAGTTTCCGTTCAACCAATGCTTTTCAAATTTTAATGTTTTGATACGAATGACAAAATAGAGGTCAAGTTCGATATTAGCAATTTTCCCTTTTACTGTACAGGAGTTATGGTCCTTGATATATTGGAAATTGACACTTTTTATGTCGTTTACTTTCAATAACTTATGAACCCTTCTACCAATGGTTTTCAAATAATAATATGTTGTTATTGGTGACAAAATGGGGGTCAAGTTCAAAGTAGACTTTTTTTACTTTTACCTTTCAGGAGTTATGGTCCCTGATCTAATTAAAATGGCGCTTCATGTCGTTTCCGTGCAATTACTCATGAACCACTTGCCCAATGCTTTTAAAATTTTAATATGTTGTTACTGTCGAAAAATGGAACTCAAGTTAGATATATATGATTTTGACCTTTGCTGTCAATGAGTTATGGTTCTTGATAGATTGAAAAAACGGCATTTTATGATAAAATGCAATTACTTATGTTCTATTCAACAATTGCACTTTAATATGCTGTTATTGATGACAAAATGGTAGTCAAGTTTGAAATCGGCGAATTTTTTTTAGATGTTCAGGAGTAATCGTTCTTGATAGATTGGAAAATAGGCATAGAATGTGGCAGGTAAAAAAAGCCTGAAAGCGCCTATCAAAATACAGAAAACTTAATTTGCTGTAAGTTTGACAGCTCATTATTCTAATATGCTTTTATTTCAGGACAATAGGCTCATTATAAATCTAACCTTCTAAAAAATTTATATTAAGCACTATCGAGAAATATTATGAATGGGTTAAATTCCCCAGTTATATCGCTGTGGAATATAACAAAATCGTAAATGGAAAAGTTTATTTAACTTAACCTTTTTGTCCCCGTTAACTCTTGATTTAGACTCCCAAATGGTGAGATTCGAGCACACCTGATGAATCTTCTGTACACAAAGCGCTCTTCAAGAGTCCTCAAGCCTAAATGTTTTTCCATTAGACGGTTCCAAATTTGTGTCCCGATTGCAAATGCATGTATAAAAAAATAAGATCCTATCACCAGATTGAATGCAAAAATATATCTAAACAATTTTTTACCAGTTTGCATCCAAATATGTCCAAACCATACCAACTCTTTACTCAATGCAAGCATTTAAATATACATTTAAAATTTAAATTTAAAAATGAAAACCTGAGATAAATCATTCCATTTGGTTTGAAATTTCTGTTTTGGAAGCTCATGCGTCGAAGTGTGCGATGAAAAGTTTCTGTGAGATCGAATTCGTTCAATATCATCCATTTGTGATATACTCCCAGGTTTTGGTTCACATGCCCAACCATCAGTCGGAATTCCAATATTAAGAGTATTCCGGATAAGCTTGTAAAGCAAACAGAAATCAAAGTCTGCAGATCTCACGTAACTATTTTCTGCAATTATATGTATTTCTTTAATAGTTAAGAAAAGTTACAAAAGTCAAATTGATCAAACAAGAAATAATAAGAAAACATTGAAAATAATTACCACAATAAACCCGCTAAAAATATTCATGTCCCAGAATATGCTCAACCTTGCTGAAATTCGTGATAAACCAGTTTTAGTAATTTTTGTGTTTATTTTTTTCAATGAATACAAATATTATGGGGGACGTGGAGGGTGACGGGGTATGAAATGAATAAGCTGGACTTGTATTTAAAAAAAAATTAGCCTGTCTAGTAAAACTTGAAAATTTATATACCGTCCTTGAAAAATACTCCTGTCCCACGTCAGAAATTCATGATCAAATTCATTATAAAAATCTGTACGTTGACAAAAGATTAAAGATTAAAGGATTTTTCACTATTTATTGACCATGTAGCCTTGAGTTTGTTCTTATTTATTCATTTGTATTTAACGCATATTTTCCAATAACATTTCATTAAATAAAGCGACTCAATATAAAAAGCGCTAATTTTTGCTGTCTTACATTCTGTTAAGGTATTTTTCAACGAAATTACTTGTCTTACTAAACAGGCCAGGACCACTAGAATTCTGACGTAAGAATACATTTGAAAACTAATTTCCTAAACACAAAATGTAAACATGCACCTGAGAAATTGACCAATCGACTGAATGAACCACATTGCTTTGCGGGCTTCTACGAGTTTACTATCACTTAAGAACACAAGGAATTCGGTTGAAAAGTTACATTTTTTATTGTATCTCGGAATCTCATATTTAATATTCTTATTCAGCTTACGTAATAAAGATAATGTATATCACATAATCTTCAATTTGCATGCTCAGATTAAAAAAATATTGTTCACAAGCTTCAGAATTCGACTTTTTAAGTATTGTCAAAAAAGTTAATTGATTGATTGATTGATTGGTGTTCAATGCCACTTTCAACAATATTGTGCTATTTCGTGGTGGTCAGTTTTTATTGGTGGAGGAAGCCGGAGTGCCGGAGAGAACCACCGATCTTCGGTAGGAAAACTGACAATCCTAGTCAATTAAAATTGGAGTCGAGAGCGCCTGCCCCGTGCGGGATTCGAACTCACAACCTAAGTGTTGACTGGATAGTGATACAGTAGTTGCATTATAATGCCTTTCCAAAAGCAATGCTCTTTCATAAAACACAAAGAATATTGTACAGATATTCTGCTTGACAAATTTGGTATGGAAAACACCTCAGAAAATAAATGCAAATTGACAGTCTCGGACTATGTGGCAGATTTCTTATACCACCAGAAATTCTGTTTTCTTGGAACAAAAACGAGTCATTTTCCCGTAGTTGTCGTTTAGATACTCACCAAGGTTTATACTGTGTTTTTGAAGAGCATAACCGTAACATTAAAACGCATATATCTGGTGTCGCTAATAGTGTAAAATGGGAAATATTAAGAAGAATTGCGATACTCTTGCAAAATTGACACAAAACATTTATGGTTTACTTAGTATATCCGAACGTTTCAGGCAACTAAGAAAAATACTAAAACTTAAATCTGAAAGGGATCTGTTTCGGGCTGAACTTTGAATATGTAAATACTTATATCCAGTCAGGCAGTAGATATATTTGGATTAGATGAGTCGCAACAATTTCCCCAAAAAACTCAAATTTTATGACCATGTTGAACTTTTTGAAATACGCAGAAAATCTCAGCTGATTTTATCAAGATCAGCAAATATCCTACCTAGTCCGTTAAAAGTTTCTTAATACTTATGTCTAAAACAGAGGAATATGAACTGTATTAATACGAAAGCAAAACAAAACCACAACGTCTTGCAATGATTGACGACAATGTTGATGGCTTACATACAGAACAAATGGAACATTTTGAAGTAGAAAAAAATCAGACACTGAAATACGCTTAACAAATCTGTTCTCATTGATTTTCTGAACAATGTTAGCAGGGAATTAAGACATGGATACAGTAAATTCGATGATTAGGCGTTTTTATGGTGTGTGTAGCACTTGTGCATGTACAGTAAATGTTAACAAATATATCTCTACATTCTGTAGAAAATGTTCTTTTTTCCTGATTTTGAGACTTGCTTTTGAAGTTTACGAGATTACTAAAAAGATCAAGCGCCTCCCGGTTTTGAAAATATAAATGGATGTACATCCTTTTTATTTTTGATTTATTTTAGTCGTTCGGTTGCTGTCTCGTGAACAAATGCCTAAAATATTTAAGTTTTTTTTCCATCCATGATATTAAGATATCTTATATAATCCGTTTTTTATAAGATATCTTATATTATATATAAGATATCTTATATATCTTATATACTTTATAAGATATCTCTTAAAATTTATAAGATATCTTATATAAATATTTTTATATAAGATATCATATATACTTTATAAGATATCTCATATAGTATATAAGATATCTCATATAGTTTATAAGATATCTCATATAATTTATAATATATCTTAAAAAGAAAATTATATAAGATATCTTATAATCTATATAACATATCTTATAAACTATATAAGATATCTCAAAAAATATATTATATATCTCATAAACTATATGAGATATCTTATAAAGTATATAAGATATCTTATATAAAAATAGTTATAAGATATCTTATAAATTGTAAGAGATATCTTATAAAGTATATAAGCTATCTTATAAAGTTTATGAGATATCTTGAAGTTAGAATAAATAGTAAAACGGCTTGCCATACATTTCGATGTTTTATTAGATCTATGACGTCTAGACTAAAATACTTATTGGAACCCCCTTTTTTTTGACGATCAATGCATTTGAATGGGGACATATAGTTGGAACCCCCCTTTATCCAGGGTTAGGACCCCCCCTTTTATAAATGGCTGGATCCGCCCCTGCATTTAATGGCTATAACTATGCTTCGGGTATTTCAAAACACTATTTTCTTAGGACAGAAACATTTATTCGTAAATCGAAGCACAGAATAAATACTTTGTATCAGGATCTGTAAATTTATACACAAAAGAAGAAATAGAAAGATGTATTGTTTTTCCGGCAATCTGTTTAAGGGACTTATCATTTTTTATCTGGGAAGGGGGGCTGGTCAAAATCCAGGGGGGATCAAGTTTTTTTCTGTATGTGGACAAGGGGGGGTTCAATTTTTTTTATAAATTCAATGAGGGGGGATCAATATTTTTTTCACATACTTCAAGAGACAAAATGTCAAGAAGAACATTACAACAGTCAAATCGAAATATATTTTTAACACCATTCATATACAATTAAGTAAGACATCACAAGACTTTGGTGATGTAGGAAGCTGCCATTTTGTGTCATTTTGTCCTATATAAAATGCATAGGTGCTTCATAATCCGAATAATTCAGTTGTTATATTTCACTCACGTCGATTACTAAATTAACAAGCATTATTGCCAATGTATCTTTTTGTTTTCATTACAAGAACCCTTTGGGTCCATTTATACCTCTCACTCCCTCAAAATTTGTACTTTTTAGGCTAATAAATAAAAAATTTGAGGTTACTATCACACATTTATGAATGAAATGTGACAATAAATGAGTAATTGAATTGTTCAAGCTGAAAGCATGAACTATCCATATAAAAGTTTAGCGACTCAATGGAGGTTTCAATAAGGTCATACGTAAAACTTAAGTTTCGGCAGCGTTCAATAGAGGGACATATAAATAATGTGTTGTTACTGTTTCAAAAAAGTTTACTTTTTAATGTATATTTTTTACAGAGTTACTCAGAATCAAGTTTTCTTTAATAGCCCAATATAGGAAATTAGAAAAAAAGTCAGAGAAAGCTACTCAAAGCACTGGCTTGCTCTACCTACTAATATTCATGGAAGAGGCCTCATGGAAGAGCCCTATTTCAAGGCAATTTTCCCTCAAACAAGTTTTGGGACTCAATCCACTGAGAATACTTCATTTTCAATATTTCCTTGAAATAACATGATAAGTGATTTACATGTTAAAATTTTGGCATGTTTAATAGAGGGGGGATCACAGTTTTTAAATGTTTTTACAGGGGGGATCAAATAAAAATAGTGAAATATTATGGGGGGGGGGGGGGGGGTCAAGAAATTTTGTATGTATGATTTCAAAATGACCAGCCCCCCTCCCAGGTAAACAATGATAAGTCCCTAATTTGTATTGTATGACAATAGAAAACACATGGTACACACTATACTTATATACGGCAAAAATATCTCAAACACAATTTTACAATTGCCGATCGCCCACAAGACTAGAAGGACACCGGATTTTATTATAATCTATCATTAATACACATACTAATTTTATGCAAATAATATCTATATACATATAAACAATATTCAAGCTTTCAATACGAATTGAAAAAAATTACTCTGTCATAAACGAACCCGCCGGCCAGGAAAAACCAACAACCAAGTTACCTTAGTCGATATGGAAACCTGTGTCCAAACCCTAATGCTCGGAAGATCGTCTCGAGAGGTGTACATTGGACAGTACTGAAAATTGGCTTATGTTTACATAAACAAAATACAACAAAATGTATACTGTTAAGCAATATACCTATATATAGTACAAAATAAGAAAGAATCAAACAATAATGAACCAACATTATATCTGAACTTGACCAGTTCGAAGTTGGCGAGAGAATGGTCTAATTGGGAAATTAACCCGCGAAAAATGACCACTCACGTGATACTACAATTAATATCACGTGTCCATACATATATATGAAAGAACCGTTAGTACAATAATTTTCTTCTATACTTCGAAACGCAGAAAATTATAAGTACACACTATACTTATATATGGCAAAAATATCTCAAACACAATTTTACAATTGCCGATCGCCCACAAGACTAGAGAACTCAAAGAAAGGGCTGAAACGAAAAAAAATGTTATGTCTATAAACCTAAATTCTTAGAAACTGAAATTCTATTATCAAACGAATCTGCAATGTATCCGTCTTTACTTAAATCAGA